ACCCTAAAAAATGTACTGGGGCTCTGACGACATTCTTGCAGTAAATAAGTCGTTGTTGTATTTAGTAAGGTATTTTGAAACATGTGGAGAATTTTCTACCACTTCCGTATCACGAAGGCCTACAATCTTGCGTTTTTTTTGGTTGAAATTTCAAATAAATCCAGAAACATCACATAAAAATTATTTCAGTAAATAAATTCAATAGCATCACATAAAATCCTTCTCATAAATAAAACGAAGTCTTCATAATTAGGTAAACCAAATTTATTCTATAAATGTATTTCTATGTCTTATTCATACAACTGAAAGTTTGTCTCATTTTATTTAAATTCTCTATATTATTCTTTCCTTTGAGATTCTTTTTTTCACACTGGTTACTGTTCATGATAACATCATGCGTGGAGTTTTGTTATACATTGCTATGATTATCACTGTTTCCTTTTCCCACAGAACCTGGTCTTATAGAGGGATATTCTGCAGTACACTTGACAGAAGTAACCATGACGACAAGAAGCATTGTAAACCAGGGCAACCACTTAAACCGCCTAGTTTCTCACTCAAGTAAGGTCCTAGCATCCGGCCTTCAGAACTGTCTAGCGGTGACCTGGCAGACGGACGACACGTTCAGTGATTTTGATGTCGTAGTGGACGGCGCCACTTTCCGCTGTCACAAGTACCTCCTCCACGCAACCTCCGGGTTTTTTGCAGCTCTGTTTCGATCGGGGATGAAAGAAACCGCCGAGAACCGTGTGGAGTTGAAAATGATGTCCAAAGAAGTCTTCGGGGTCATAGTCAAAGCAATATACACCGGGGAACCAGGTTTGACGAGAGAGAACGTCCTGGATGTATGGCAGGCCTCCAGCATGCTTGAGATCCAGTACTTGAGTGAAGAGTGCCAAAAGTTTGCTATGCTTGTGATGGATGAAGAGAACTGTATAGAAGTTTATAACTTCGCGAAGAGCATGTGTTTTACCAAAATGGCCCTGGATGCTCGCTCACTCATGCTGTTTCGCTTTGAACGCGTGGCTCAAACAGAGGGCTTTCTCCAAAACATGACCTACAGCCTCTTCTTAGACTTGTTGGAGAATAGGTTCCTGAACGCGTCCAATGAAGATGTCGTTGTGGACAGCATTTTGAGATGGGTCAGATACAAACCTGAATCAGTTGCATGTGAAACTCTGCAAGGTTTCTCAGATCTAGAAAATAGAGTAAGGCACCTGTCTGTCTTGCTAAGAAGCGCCAGGATGTTTCTGATATCTGAAGCCTGCCTTAAACGTATGGAAGAGTTTACTCAAGACATACCAGAATGCCATGACACCATCAGAGAGGCCCTGTTGTTCACCAGGAAGAAAGACGTTAATTGGCATGCCTGGCAGAAGTCCTCCACGCACCGCCCCTATAGCTGGTCTCGCAATGCTGTTGTCATCATGACCAGCAACCAGCTGTTGGCTTTCAGACTTCTGCACCCTCGAAAGCTTAGCACCATCAGCAAGATTCCTCGCAGATCTTCATTGATTTTCAGAAACATGTGTGTGTTCAAGAATAAGATTTACATGGATCTAAGAGGCTACAGCTTCAACTCCTTGACGACGCTGGACGACAGAGACTCAACGGAAGAGCTCATATTTCAAGAAGAAAGCTACAAGATTGATCTGACTCCAAAGCTTTGCAACACCAAACTGTTTTCGCACAACGGTTGCTTGTATCGATACTACATGGGCGCCGTGTACTCTCTGGGCAAGACTCAAGACGATACCAATGTTTGGGCTGAGGTGTTCAAGTCAGAGGACATCGAGTCTGCATCTGAGGTTACATCCTTCCAGAATTTCATTCTGTTTTTTAACACCGTTAAACAGGTAACCATTGTCTTTGGCCTTGACACTGAGACCGGTGTGTTCAGACGGATGTCTGATCTGGCTGGCGACGCTCTGTCCCTGGTCGCATTTAATGATTGCAGCAACACCTACATACTCCAGCGCCATGGGGCTTTACATAAACTGATTCTTCAGGAAGATTCTCAAGTCAGCTTCGAGTTAGTTGCCAAACTGTGGGATGTAGAATGGCATCCGTTGTTGGCTGTTACTTTCTGTGAAAAACTTTACATATTCGGCAAGGATTACCTTCTGCCTGTTGATGCTAATTTGATTAACAGAAGAGTTCCTCCTGGTTCATTCTCATTTAAAAGTATTGAAATCATCAAGGAGGACGATGCTTTACAGTGTTGCCCCATCATACTGCCAAAGTTTTGGTTTCATTAGCAATGAACATTGGATGAAAGGTGCGTGTACATAAAACACGGGTGTACATACTTTCAAGACATCCATGTACAAGAAAAATGTGTGCACATACTTTCAAGACATCCATGTACATGAAACACGGGTGCACATACTTTCAAGACATCCATGTACATGAAAAATGTGTGCACATACTTTCAAGACATCCATGCACATGAAAAATGCGTGTACATACTTTCAAGACATCCATGTACATGAAAAATGCGTGTACATGACATTTGCGGAACATTTATCTGACCATGTAAAAAATTTTACAATTATTTGAGCCAAGCTAACATTTGACATGATGTGTTTTTCAGCATTTCGGGGATCTCATCCATGGCGTACACATATGCTGCTCACATTTTTTTTATTTCTTTAAAATTATTAAAAACTAATTCAAAATTACTTCATTGATTTGTGATTTCAATGTTTTTATAGTGATAATAGTATCGTTATTAAATGTTTATATTTATTCAATGAAGACCACCATAAGAGCCCAAATATGCTTAGATGGTAGTTGACAAGTTATACTAATTATAATAATTATTATACTTACTATTGTCTCTACACTCAGGGGCAGTATTTTCTGAAAAGTGCAAAGAGTTTGTTGATTTTTATTCATGGAAAGGTGGGCGGCTCATACCTTAGCTACGCCACTGACATTTACACATTTAATGTCCACCTTCATTGTTCAATATAACCAACTCAATCAGCGCCATTACCCAGGCGCTTCAATTCGTTGTGTTGTTGTCAGTAGCAAAATTGTTGTTTGCGTCTACGCTAGCATCCACAACCAGGTTAACTTAATCCTTACTCTGCCAGGCATCTCGCCAGGGAGGAGGGGAGAAAAACTCCCATAATGTGACGTCGCATAAGCTTGATTTACTTTTAAATGAATCAATAAGCAACTAAGTCCACAAATTTGCCAAGGCCATATTCTTACGTTATTTTAAATTAATAAATTTTAAACATAAATCTTCACAATAATCTCAAACCGAAGCCCAAATTTCGCATGAAAAAATGAAATCTATTGTATTTACTGATTAAACTGGTGAGCATTATAATAAATAATGACAAGGGACAGTGCACACTATCCAACGCGATACGGGAAGGGGCAGGTTTATCAATTTGTTTTTTTCCCTGTTGTTTTACAAGGTGTAGTGTAGTAGAAAAAATATATATATATTTTTTGTGGTTATATAATATGAGCATGGTTCACAAATATTTTCCATATTTGTTTTCCCCACATGACGTTACTAAATATAGGCCTATATTGCAAAAACTTTTAGAGAATTACTTAAAAGTAAAGTAAGTAACAAATAATAGCATGGCTGCTTGAATGGATTAGCAAATATGTAACATCTATTTTGCAACAAAAGTCATGTTGAAATATTAAGTTCAACAGCACCGACAATGCATAAGAAATTACCACCTGCTCCTCAACAGAAACGGATTAAACTAATGCAAGTAGCTACCAGAAGACAGAGAGAGAGCTTATGGCAATTATTGATCACACTGAAAAAGCTTCTATTTTAAGTGCTGAATAGTTAGATTAGGATGATATTGACTTGTCTGGTAAATCAGTTCCGCAAGATGAAAATGAGAAATCAGCTACTATACCCATTGATACGATAGAGCAATATCTGGCTACTTCCTGGGACGATAATAGCAGCTAGAAACCATGCTACAATTGTCAGCTATACTGACCTTAATCATACTGCTGCTTTCACAAACAATGATACTTAGTCTTTAACAACCTCTTTATTGATTCTGCATTATAAAATTTAAGTGTACAACTTTTTAACTTGTTGATTAACAAGCTAAAGATGAAATAAAATTTTAATGTTTTTCCTATTATTTTGTGTTAATAAAATAGATATTCACAAAGTAAAATGCATTTATATTTTAATTTATATTTTAATTCTTTTGTGTGTGTGTGTGTGTGGGGGGGGGTGGGGGTATACAAATGTTGACATAATTACTTGGGGGGGGGGCACTGTGAAAGTTTGTAAGTTGTTGACAATGGGGGAGGGGGGGGGGGTCAAAAAATTGTTGACGTAATTAATGGACGGCCCAAAAGACAAATATCACATTTACAGCAACAAAAAAAAAAAAAAAATAATTGTAGCTTTGTTTATAGACAAATAATTAGTTTTATTTTCATGGTGAAATTTAAAGGTGCGTGAACCGTGTTATCATATAAAATATAAATGAAATTATGTTACAATGTATGTTTATAATATTAATAGGATGAAACAGAACAATGGGAAAAAATATTATATTAATCGGTATAGATCAAAATTCAATAATAAACAATGAAATATAAAATAAAAGTTAGGCCTACATTATATTTAAAATAATACTTTTTAAATTTCTATAGAAGTTAAATGGTGTATGTCTAAAAATATAGTTTTTTCGATCTTAAGTGATGACAAATGAATTTAAAATTGTTAGATGCTTAAATAATTCCATATCTCAGTACCCGGTACTGTGTAAGTTTTCTCGACAAGAGTGATACCTCTTATCTAATGACACACTTATTTGTAAATAATTCCTAACAAATAAGCATATAATTTGTCACTAAGCCATCTTCAATCCTTCCTTTGCAGGGTTTTTCAATGTTTGTGTGTCTTGTAATCGGGGATGAGACTTTCGTGATTAAATAAATGCACAGATGAAAATAAAAGATATAATTTATGTTGGAATAGCAAACAAATTTTTTCACGCCCACCCGGAAGTTCCGTTAAATTGTATTTGTTTATACTTTCCTTCTCAATTCACTATTTAAATAAGGTAAATAAAATTTAAAGTATTTCGATTAGCATTTTAGGAACTTATCTCCAATAATTTGATTGAATGCAAGATTGAATGAATAAGCCAATGATTATCAATAGCATTGGAAGATTGGAAGAATTTGCATTTTGCTAACTGCTGTACTTAGCCTGTACTGTACTGTACTCTACTCAAAATGCATCGCTTACCGATGACGATGATTGAATGATTAACTCATGAGACATGAATTCATGCTATCAATTTCTTTTTAAAATAATCATTGTTTATTTTAAAAAAATTGATAGCATGAATTGTCTCATGAGTATAATTATTATTGAATTTAATGTGTAGCAGAATAAGTTTAGTAGTCGAAGTCAGTAGTCGCCAGAATGAAGTGGAGTACTCAGTTAACTCAGCCTCAGTGCTCTCAAGTACTATAATATTGACTTGTGATATTGCTAGTTGGGGGAAAATGAATAAAACACACAACATTAACATTACTAACTGACTGACTGACCAAACTAAGTCTACTAATTATCTAATCAATGATAAAAAAATTGAAAATAGTTAACGCTTTTTAGTGCCTAATTAATCATATTTAGCCCTCTTCTTAATAAATTAATTTTCTTAATAAATGTGTTATTTTATGCCTACTAAACCTACTACTACTAATATACTAAAGTTAAAGCCCTATTAGCTGTTAGTGTTATCTCTTATTTTAGCGCTAATCAGGAGTGATTATTTATTGATTCCCTTTTTTAAAACTTAAATGTAGGTACCTCGGGTTAAGCAAGGGAGACTACTAAAAAAATTTTTAAGGGAAATAATGAGTCGGCGCACGAAGATTCAAGTTTAAAAATTGTTTGATCTTGGTGCTATTTCATTCATAAGTTGAAAGTTCATAGTAAGTAGTCCTAAACCAGTATTATTTTTCGGGGGACGCCTTACTACATGCACTAAATAAATTATATATATATAGAGTATAGGGCTAATGTTAGCTAGACTTGGTAAACAGAAAATCCATATCGCAATTAAATTATAATTTATAATATAAAGCATATTGCACAGTTAGATAAGTTACACATTATTTATAATAGCATAATAGTGTTAAAATTAATTTTAAAATTAGAACTTATAATAAACAGAAAATAAAAGGTGCCTAAAATTATCATTTAAACAAGTGTTATACTACATGACTTCGCGATCAGCAGTCTGGTCACAAAATGTGGAGTAGCAGTCCATAATAAAAAAATTATAAATTATAAATGAACACTCATTTTAAAAATTCATAGCTCAAAAAATATTAAATCTAAAAAGTTGATTCTGGTTTCCATTATTTTTTTTTTTTTGGTTTTGATTTGAAGTTTGCTCTATATGACTGAAATATTTCAATAATTTTTCAAACTGTTTTATTTTTTTACTGAAGTACCTATTAAATATTTTAAAGCTATCTATATATTGACCAGATTGGACTAAATTGAAACACTCCAATAAATTAGTTAATAGAACAAAAAAGGTCTTTTACTATTTCTATTTTAATTTATTATTTTTTTTCCAATTTGTTTGTCTTTTTTTTTTTTTTTTTTTTTTTGTTCTTTTTAGGTGTTTTTTTTTTTTTTTTTTTTATTTTATTATTTTTTTTTTAATTTTTTTTTTTTTTTTTTTTTTTTTTTTTTGTGGGCTTTTAAGGGAATTTTTATTTTCTGATCTCTACTTGTAACCCACAATGTCACACGGTGATGTACTTTTTATGTTGTACTTGTACCATTTGTTACAGAGTTTTTATTTTGGGAAAAAAAGACGATATTTGGCTTATAAAATCATTAAAATAATGAAATAAATAAGTTAATTATTTATTTTTAAAAGTTAATTTGAAAAAAAAAACTTGTTTAATTGAACTTAGTATGCTAAAATATAAATGACTACCTAAAGGTCACTTATTTAATTTGAGTAGCTTATCACTTACACTATCAGCGTATCACTTAGACTATCAGCGTGAGTGCTCATACTGTGAGACTGTGAATGTTTTACCTTGGCCGTGTTGACTTGACTCATGACTGTTAAACACACTCACAATGTCAGTGTCACAGAGTTACTTGCAGTCATATTGTGCATACTGGCTTACTCATTTCAATTATCATTTATAGGGTTATAGCCTGTCATGTAGTCTATTATTATTCTCCATTATAGACTTAAAGACGTGAGCTGATATCTTGCCGTTTATTTGGTAAACCATCAAGTATCATGGAATGGTTGATAAGAATTTCTATACTGATTATCTTTTGTAATTTATATAATCCAATAGCTGGGTAGACAATTTTGATTTTTATTTCTCTGTGTAATTTCATTTTACATTAGCAATTTCGACCATTCTAGAAATTAGACTTTTAGAAACTATTGTAGCCTATTAGACTTTTAGAAACTATTGTAACCTATTGGACCTTTAGAATCTATTGTAGCCTATTAGAATTTTGGAAACTATTGTAGTCTATTAGACTTTTAGAAACTATTTTAGCCTGACTTATAGAAAACTATTGTAGCCTATGAGGCTTTAAGAAATTATTGTAGCCTATTAAGCCTGCGATACCTATTATTAACAGGTAATAAAAATATTGTTTTTGGCATTTCTGAACTAAACTAGGTATTAAAATGAGTGGAAGCATTGATGATGATGAGGATCCTGAACACTCACAGGGGCCAGCACCTGCACCTCTTGATCTTGGGCGTTTGGAAGTAGAAGCCAAACTGGCAGCTGCAAAACATGTTGCCAGTTTATTGCAGGTCTTAACTTTTAATAAATAAAGCTAAATAAGAATATTCAAAATATAAATGAAAATTTCTGTTGTAATTCATAATTATAGTTCATGCAGAGGCGTAGCGTGGTGGGGGCAAGGGGGACAGATGTCCCCGGGAGCCAGCTAGTTAGGGGCGTCAAAATATGCTTTGATATTATTTTATTGATGAAAATAATGGGTTTGAGAGTTGAAAAAGAGAAAAAGGGGCGCTAAAAATGGATCTTGTCCCCGGGCGTGAATCTTGTCCCCGGGCGCCAAACACCCTCACTACGCCACTGAGTTCATGTTCTCTTGGTGAGATTTGCCATATCAGTCTAATAGATTGAATAGAATACAATAAAAGTGTATTGTCTTAAAAAATAGAAATGAAGAGGTAGAACTGGCCTTATTTATTTGTTCATTGAAAGGTTACGCACCCAAAGCATTTCTATTTATTATAAAAAGTTTATTCTTTGGATGTGTTGTTGATAAGTTTAGTTTTAACAAGCTCTCATTAGTATAGCCAATAGTTTTAATTCAATGTGAAAATCTTCCTCTTAACAGAGACCGGATCAGCTGGATAAAGTGGACCAGTATAAAAGAAGAGTAGCACGAAAGAAAGTTAGTGGTTGCCTTGTCCATTTTTTTGTTCAGATCTTATTGTTATCTATTCAATAGTCTTGCAGTAATGTGCATGTTATTGTTATGAACTGGTCTTATGAGCCTGGTTGCTTGCCCATGGAATAGTTGTAGGCCGCAGTTGATGAATAGTTTTTTGAGGTTGAGTTGTGATTATGTGAGGCGAGGGCCAGTTGTGATTGGTCGAGTTAGGGAGGGCCACTTCTCAGTGATTGAGTTAGTTGTATGGGAGCCCCCCGGGGCTCTTGTCGTCATGTCGATCAATGATATGCTTGATAAAGAGGCGCTCGCCACGAACCCCCTGAAGCGTTACCCGGGGAACAGTATCACCGTGTAGGGGACCCGCGCTGAAAGGCAAAGGTAACGCACGGAGACTGCGTTTATTCGAGCACGATTGCATGGCTTCCCACCAAGTGCAGTCGAACTATTTTACTAAACGCAGAAACAGGTTGGGACATGATTACAGTTGCCGTATGGATATGAGGTGAAGGTGTGTGGCAACCTTTCACCGGTGATTTTAAATATGCAGTCTTGAGGGTACTGCTCCAAGGCAACCTCTCTCTCCCATCTACGGTGTGAATTAGTCGCACCGTAGAATAACCATACAAACCCTAGTAGAGGGCGTCGGTCTTAAACAACTACGCGGTCCCCCCGGGGTGGTAAGGGGGGACTTTAGAGACGTTAAACATCCACCCCAACCCCTTAGAAAGTCCGGCCCTGTTGCTGCGTGAGCAGCAATCCGGCTGGCCAGGTGTTTCTTCTCTGGGGCTGCCACACTCAGCGGCCAATCGAGTGGAGGTCGGGTGTGGCGGTCTTAGGGGCGGAGCGTCCCTGGCGTGCCGCTTCGCGGCCCGATCGGAATAAAGACCACTGGGGGAGTGGTTGATGGCCGGTTTGGTTGGCGGGGTGGTGCGTTGGGGAGGACCATATGAGCCTCAAGGCTCGGTGTTCGCTGATTTTCTTAAGTTAGTTAAGTTAAGTTGTATGGGAGTTCTGTAGTAAGTGTTATTGTGAAATGTGCAAGTCCTAGTGGTAGTCAGTGTAGTAAGAGTAGTATTAGTGTTGTGAGGATTTCATGGAGTGTTTTGTACACTTGTTTTTTTACCCAGTGTGACAGTGTAAATAAAGAACATAAGTATTGACAACCTTGTGTTTTTATTGCTTGGTGTGATCCAGTGTGGACGAAAGCATACCCTAGAGCAGTGTTGTTACCCTAGATAACAACATAACCTATCAAACTGCTCGTTCATTTAACTGCAGTAGTTTGTTAATTGTGAACTTGTCCTAAGAAGACAGTTTGCTACTTATAAAATGTAAGTTATTGACCAAAACAATATTTTAGTTTTCTTTACAAATATTGGTCAGTTGAAAATTTTTGAGTTGTACCTCCCCCTAATGTTTTTAGGCATCAGTTGAAGCGATGTTGAAAACTGTTGTACAATCTCAGCTGGATGGTGTGAGGACAGGTCTGAATCAACTGCAAAGTGCATTGCAAGATGTCCACCAAATCAAACAAAGGTACATCGGAATAGAAATGACGGGTATCATTCTTAAAAATGGGGTTGATTGTAAATTTTAGAAAATTTATAGAAAATTTTATGTAGTAATGTATCTATACTTTCTTTTGTTTATTGTATAATCATTAAATTTGAAAAAATTTCTTTTCCAGTCTGGATGAAATAGCAGACAACTACAGAATTATTGAGCCTCTGCACCAGAAATTAAAAGATCTCAAGGGAGAAAATAACAAATTCTGCCAGGTTAACATAATTTATTAATTAACCCATCCAACTATGACATGGCCAAATCCCACCTCACAAAACGCTTTTTACATGTTGCTATAGAGAAATTGGCTATCTCTATATTAAATTCTATCACAAGATGTGAGACCAAAGGAGGTGACTAAAAAATATTTTGTCATTTTGTCTATTGGGAGTATTCATTATTTTAACAGTAGGCCAATATTTAGTTTTTTTTATGGCTATGATCATGAGTTATCTAGTACAGTGTTTCCCAAAGGGGTGTCCACTTAAAAGTTTGGTCAAAACTAGTCTCATACTTAGCCCAGTAAGACATTAAGAAATTACACAACAAAAGCTTCGGCTAATTATGGATGACAACACATTAAAAAAAAGTAAAAAGAATTTAATTTACTTTATTTCATGTAATTATATCACAAAATACATTTGTTTAAAATATAAAAAAATCTACACAAATCTATGGTACATATAGAGTAGTTCGCCTTCGGCAAGGATTTGAATGAGTATAATTTCTTAACGCAGTGGGTTGAAGAGCTAACCTCACAGTACATTCCATTATAATCTGTCATTTCCTATTTAAAATTGCTAGACAATAATATTCATTTAGTTTATATTTAATTTAGGTTCAACGTAGATTCTGCCAACCGTTAATTAAAAAAAAAATTTGTTTTTTTTAAACATATAAAATGTGATGTTTAGATGCCATCAATTCGCACTATTTTTCTTGTTTCCTCAGTTGTCAGCCGCCCAGGAGAACTTGAAACACATCTTCACCGTACCAGAGAGCGTGGTCAAGACAAGAGAGTTAATTAATGAAGGGAAACTCCTTCAGGCTCACAAACAGTGAGGGTGATTTTGTTCTGTCTGTTTTAATTATAAGATGAGATAAGATGATGTTTCTGAATCCTCATAAATGGAAATGTATTGATTACACTGTACGTATTCAACATATTGATAAACATTCTGATAAAAAAAAAATCAAGATACAACAACTAAAACATAAGACATTTTAAAGTGTATCTCAAGGGCTGAAACTTGCCATCACATGTTGTAAAACATCACTCCCATAATGACATTGAGGATTATAGAGTGATTGTGTGTTTATTTTTTTAGAGAGTGATTGTTTGATTATTTTTTAGAGACTGATTGTTTGATTATTTTTTAGAGAGTGATTGTTTGATTATTTGTTTCAGTTGTCTACTAATAATTTTTACGTTAAAGTTTTTGATACTTATGTTTGTTGACCCAACTTTCTTTAACCTTTTCATTACCGCTGGCGTCGAAGCAATGTCACGATCACCCACTTTCATTTACCAAGGACATCACATTGTCATCATAACAAAGAGGCAAAGAAACTTTCTGAAATACCAAGGATGTCACGTCGACGTCATATTTCAATGCTATATATTTCTTTATTCGTTAATTTATAGAGAAGTCAATAAGCGAATCTGATAGATTAAGTTTCCTCTTTAAGTTTTTTAATTGCTGAGTCAGCAAAAAATTGATTGCCCCCCCCCACAAGCCAACAGTAAACAGTATTGAAAGGGTTAAAGCTATTGATGCATCATTTTTCTATTTACCTTGGGATGTGAAACCATTTGTATTTTTCTAAAGTTTGACAGACTTGGAGATGGCCAGGGATGACCTACTTCTTGCCTTACACAGGCAACCTAATCAGAGCCCCACTGACAAAAATGTAAGGAATGAAAGAAAATAATTTTGCTTTACAAATAGAATACATACTTTTTTTAAATATCTTACAAGGCGGGAAACTTAGTTGTTGGTTTTGGGTTAAAATAACTCCCTGCTTCTGATATGACATGTTGATTTTTAATTTTTGTTTAAAAGGGGGAAAAAAAATCATCTTCCAATATTTAATTTTAAAAAACTGGACCAGATGGATCTATCAAGACAATTTCACTTGTTGTACTTAATTACCTTGTGTTTTACTGCTGTTTTCTTCAATTAGTAAAGGGAATTTCAAAAACACAAATGGAAATTGTTTTTATAAGGCATGAACTTACAATAAGGATATCCTATGTTACTCATATTGCAATAAGCATATCCTATGTTGTTACTCATCTTACAATAATCATATCATATGTTGTTACTCATCTTACAATAAGCATATCCTATCTTGTTACTCATCTTACAATAAGCATATCCTAAGTTGTTACTCATCTTACAATAAGCATATCCTAAGTTGTTACTCATCTTACAATAAGCATATCCTAAGTTGTTACTCATCTTACAATAAGCATATCCTAAGTTGTTACTCATCTTACACTAAGCATATCCTAAGTTGTTACTCATCTTACACTAAGCATATCCTAAGTTGTTACTCATCTTACAATAAGCATATCCTAAGTTGTTACTCATCTTACAATAAGCATATCCTAAGTTGTTACTCATCTTACATAACTGGACAATTACTGTGCCACCTCCTATTATTTTGTGGGTCTTGTTTAAATCTATTGGTTGGCTGCATTGAGTCATCTTGTTTAAATCTATTGGTTGGCTGCATTGAGTCATCTTGTTTAAATCTATTGGTTGGCTGCATTGAGTCATCTTGTTTAAATCTATTGGTTGGCTGCATTGAGTCATCTTGTTTAAATCTATTTGTTGGCTGCATTGAGTCATCTTGTTTAAATCTATTGGTTGGCTGCATTGAGTCATCTTGTTTAAATCTATTGGTTGGCTGCATTGAGTCATCTTGTTTAAATCTGTTGGTTGGCTGCATTGAGTCATCTTGTTTAAATCTATTGGTTGGCTGCATTGAATCATCTTGCTATATTTATCTCACATCATAGACCCTGACTCATTATTTCGCTGAGGTGGAGACTCTGTCTAAAGAGCTCGGCAAACAACTGTGGGTCATAATTCAAAGGACTCTCATGTCTGTGAGAAGGGAGCCAACACTGATATGTACGGCACTGCGCATCATAGAAAGAGAGGAAAGGTACAACTACTTGGAGAATTTCACATTTGGTTTATTGCTTGGAAAAAATAACTTACATTAAAGTGATAAATATGTTTTGGGTTAATTATTTGGAAGTAATTTGATTTAAATAAATCAGACCTGTTTACCCCCAGACTCTTAAAATCGTACAATATCATCACAAAATTGTTCTTAATAGTAAAAAGAAAAACCATACAGTATATACAATGTATGCACCTCAAAGTCTTACATTGTACGTCAAATTCGTAAGAGTAAACAGGTCTGATCAATTACAGTTTTTAATTATTAATATATTTTGGATTACTAAATGCAGAATGGACAATGCTTGGGCCAGAAAAAGTGACCAGACAGGCTTTATGCCACCGGGTAGACCAAAGTGCTGGAGGTCTAAGTGCCTGGAAGTACTTCAAAACTCCATTGCAGCTCGGTGAGATTAGTGCTTCACATACAATACATTAGAGAGTCTGCAATCTAAAATTTCAGTGCAATTGCTATGCATAGAAATATTATATTAAATGGCAAAAGTTAATATAGTTAAAATGTTTAAAATAATTTAAATAATATATATTTCTTAGGCTGGTATCTTTAAAAAATTGTGATATTTTCATCCAAATATTATAAATGTATATGTTTAAATTGATTTTAAAAACTGATAGCTATATAAATTCAAAATAAGTATTACTAAAATGTGACAACTTAAATAAATGTTACAACTTAAGTAAATGTGACAACTTAAATAAATGTGACAACTGAAGTAAATGTGACAACTTAAGTAAATGTGACAACTTAAATAAATGTGACAACTTTAATAAATGTTACAACTTAAATAAATGCATTAAATAAATGTGACAACTCAAAATAAGTATTACTAAAATGTGACAACTTAAATAAATGTGACAACTTAAATAAATGTTACAACTTAAGTAAATGTGACAGCTTAAATAAATGTGACAACTCAAATAAATGTGACAACTTAAGTAAATGTGACAACTTAAATAAATGTGACAACTTTAATAAATGTGACAACTTAAGTAAATGTGACAACTTAAGTAAATGTGACAACTTAAATAAATGTGACAACTTAAATAAATGTGACAATTTAAATAAATGTGACAACTTAAGTAAATGTGACAACTTAAATAAATGTTACAACTTAAATAAATGCGTTAAATAAATGTGACAACTGAAGTAAATGTGACAACTTAAGTAAATGTTACAACTTAAATAAATGCGGCAACTTAAATAAATGTGACAACTGAAGTAAATGTGACAACTTAAGTAAATGTGACAAATTAAATAAATGTGACAACTTAAATAAATGTGACAACTTAAATAAATGTGACAACTGAAAGCCATTAATTTCATTCCAGGATTGAAGGGAGTCAGCTTGAGACCAGAGATCAAAATAAGATGTGGTTGGTTCGTCACCTCGAGATCACCAGACAGCTGATGATTGATGACCTCAAAGTTGTCAAGGCGAGTAGCCATGTCATAGCCATTTGTAGCTATTTGTAGCCATGTTTCTTTAATAAGGTTTCTTCTGTTCTTAACCTTTGGCAAAACTTGCTCTTGTTGGGATTCATACATTCAGTGTTGAGACTTTTCTTTTTGTGACCCAGTAGTTTCAAATTGTTTTCCAGCAATGCAGTTCCGGTTTAAACCGATATGTGTTATTTACTGTATCACTAAACAGATGTTTGTTATTTACTGTATCACTAAACAGATGTTTGTTATTTACTGTATCACTAAACAGATGTTTGTTATTTACTGTATCACTAAACAGATGTGTGTAATTTACTGTATCACTAAACAGATGTGTGTTATTTACTGAATCACTAAACAGATGTGTGTTATTTACTGTATTACTAAACAGATGTGTGTTATTTACTGTATCACTAAACACATGTTTGTTATTTACTGTATCACTAAACAGATGTGTGTTATTTACTGTATCACCATTGCACTGGCAACTAATTTCTAAGTGCTCATCGCAGTTCTGAATGATCCAGCTGTTTTATATGATAATAAGTACACTTCAATCTGATTTTCTTTCGTTAATTAGACTCATCATGTTTATTGACTTCTTAGACTCTGCTGCCACCTGTGTTCCCTCCAGACTATGATGTTGTGAGGAGGTACACCAGGATGTATCACAAGGCACTATCACTTCATGTAAGTGTTTCTGTCGGCTGTAACATAAGTCTATGCTGAGCTTTTGATTTGAAAAAATAAAAATAAAATTACAGTAATAACAATAATATATAATAATAACATAAAATGATAAAGTAAAATAATAAGATAAATAAGGTTCTCTTTTGTTAAAATTCATGGGTCTCACTAATTTTTTTTATTGTTCAGACCTGCTCTTCATCTGTTGAGTTAAATCATTTTTAAATGCTAGTCTTTTTGGTGTGCATGCTAATTTCAAGGTTTATTATTATCAATACAATAGGAAAACAAAATGCATATATAGTATAATATGTAAAAACAATGTGCCAGGACTCCTTGCGGTATATTCTCAATCTAAAGCCCTTTCTTACATAAGGCAACCACTATTGTTTTTCCCAGGAAATGCTGACTGCATAAAAATATGCCAGTGTAAACTGTTTGGACTTTTACAAATAATTCTTGTATATAACTAAAAGTGTTATAATCTTATATGCATTATGTATAATGCATAAGGAAGACATTTGCTCTGCATGTCAACACATACAGAGTATTTCCAAAAATAGAGAACTGGCCTCATAAAGAAATGTGAAGTAACCTTGTCTTTCCATGAATGTATTCTGCTATAAATAATAATTAACAAGTTGGTGTAAGTGAAGATTGAAAAGTATAGGTCATGTGCTGGTGCCAAACTTAATCAAAATAATAGATATCTGATGGTTCTAAGTATAAATTTTATTTGCTGATCAAATATTAGCCACTATACTGGGCTTTCCTCAGAAAAAAAACTTCTTCTTCTATATCTTAAGGGCCCACGATCAATTTATTGATCATTTTGGCTCCTATGCATGTAGATGGGATTTGCAATGTTTCTGTTACTGGTGGTGATGAGGAAATTATGCACTAGGGGTTTGAAGGCTTGAGGCAATAGACACAAATGTGTCTAGTGTTGTAACCATTAGCCTAATAAGCCACCCAAGCAAGGTCATGCTAAAGGTCATAATGAACCGACTAAGACCAAATACCAACAGAATCATTGCTGAAGAACAGGCGGACTTCAGGCAAGGACATGTCACTACTGAGCAGATCCTAAGCCTCTGAATACGATGTGAGAAATATGCTCAACACCAACAAAACCTGTACCACGTCTTTGTGGATTTCAAGAAGGCTTTTGACAGCATATATGGGCCAACAAAGGATGAATATGGATGGAGAATACGAACCAACCATGAATTATACAGTCTATATCAGGATCTCACGATAGTAGCAGAAATAAAAAGAGGCAGGCTACGCTGGGCAGGACACCTAGAGAGAATGCCAAATGACAGAGGAATGAAGAGGGTGCATCACCCTTACCCCAGAGGAAAAAGGCTCAAAGGCAGACCAAGGCTTAGGTTGATAGATAATGTGGAAAATGATCTACAGCAGTTGGGAGTCCAAGCATCGAAAAGAAAGGCATTAGTTAGGTCTGAGTGGAAGGAAGTGGTGAGACAGGCCGGCGCCCTGCATGGGCTGTAGCGCCACAGGGATGGATGGATTCGACAGCATTTGGCATGCTGCTTTATGAGCCACCATGAGGCACTGCAACATCAACACAAACCTAACCAGCATGATATGCAACCTCTATGATAAGGCCACCAGTGCAGTCTTCTTCAACAATAACATTGGAGAATATTTCAAGACCACGGTTGGAGTACGACAAGGCTGCTTGCTCTCTCTCACCCTTTTCAACATCTTCTTGGAGAGAATTATGTCAGATGCACTGGAAGCGCATGTAGGGACAGTCAGCATTGGTGACAGAACAATCACCAACCTACGATTTGCATATGGCATAGATGGACTGGCTCGAAACGAAGAACTAGTCAACCTAGTAAAACATCTCGACAAGATTTCATCGTCCTTTGGCATGCAAATCAGTGCAGAAAAAACTAAATTGATGACGAATAACACCACCGGCATCTCCACTGAAATTAAGGTTGGGGAGGAAAGATTAGAGACAGTAGGCAGCTTCAAGTACCTTAGAGCAATAACCTTTGAAGAAGACTCCAAGCCCGAATCGATGTCCAGGATTGCCCAGACCACAACAGCACTAAATAGGCTTTAAAAAATATGGAATGACAAATATATACCCCCCATCACCAAAATCTGGCGGATGCGCTCATTAATCCACTCCATTTTCTTGTAAAACTGCGAGTCCTGGACATTAACAGCAGGACTTGAAAGAAAAATAAAGGCGATGAAGATGAAATGTTTTATAACCATTCTTGGAACCTGCTCTAGAGACAATAACGAACAAGTCAAAGAAAAAATTTGTCAAGCAATTGGGCAGTATGATGACCTCCTGGTGACTGTAAAAAGTCGCAAACTGGAATGGTATGTCCCCTTGACAAGAAAACAAGGGTTCCCCAAAGAAATCAGGCAGGGCACAACGAGAGGACGGAGAAGAAGAGGAAGACAGAGAAAAAGATGGGAAGATAACATCAAAGAATGGGTGGGACCAAAGCTAGGTGATGCTGTGTGAAGTGTAGAAAACAGAGAGGAATGGAGGAGGATAGTTTTCATGTCATCTGTGGCACCCCAATGGACTAACGACTAATGTACACGTAGATGTGGATGTAGAACAGATTATCAGCGTCAACATAAATTTTTAGGGTCCAGTCAAAAGGACTTTGCTACAGTACAAATTAAAATTAACAATTTTCTCCTATTAAAAGCCAGATTTTTAATAACTCTTGTAAATGCTAAACACTGTTCCAGTTAATACTGAATTTTGTACACGACTTTAAGTTGACATCCGTTAATTACTTTATTCGACTTTGTTTTATATAATTGAATCAAAGTACCTGGAGAAATTTTAAAAATCTCCTATGAACTGCTTATATGGCGACCAGGCCACTTATTCCCCTTTTTTTTCTTTTTAAGTTTGCCGTAGAATTAGTAAATACTTTGATTATATATGACATGTATCTACTGCTATAAAACACTATACTTTGATTATACATGATATGTATCTACTGCTATAAAACACTATACTTTGATTATACATGATATGTATCTACTGCTATAAAACACTATACTTTGATTATATATGACATGTATCTACTGCTATAAAACACTATACTTTGATTATATATGACATGTATCTACTGCTATAAAACACTATACTTTGATTATACATGATATGTATCTACTGCTATAAAACACTATACTTTGATTATATATGATATGTATCTACTGCTATAAAACATTAAAAAAACAAATTTATTTACTGAATTCAGCTTGAAGAAATGATCAACCAGGAACTTGAAGGCAATGAAGTTGTGTCTCTGTTACAATGGGTCAAGGCATACGAGTAGGTCATTCTGAAGTTCACATTGTACTCTGCTGATAATTGGGGTCCTATTTTAGAGATAGACTATTTATTTTCTTTTCATTTAAATTGGTCCAAGGCACATGAGTGGGTCATTCGATGTGCCAAGGCACATGAGAAGGCACATGAGTGGGTCATTCGATTGGCCAAGGGCACATGAGTAGGTCATTCTTAAATTTGTAGTGAATTTTATTGATATAATTAGAAACAATTGTTAGTTATAAGCTGTTTTTTTTATTGTTGACTTTTTTATGCTACCCAGTTTTTCTTAATTGTTTTTATTAAATTTTGTTTCTCTTCCTTTTCTATTATAAGTTTGTTATTTCTAATTTTATTTATTTCACTGAAGTCTTGTCACAGACAATGCACACATTGAGGTGGTTCTATCATAATAATTACATGACTTATCTGGTGGGCAGATTTGAATGATTTTACTGTATCATTATTTTCCATTATTTCTTAATGAAACTTTTTGTTTCTGTTTTCCCCAATGTTCTCAGTTCGCCTGAGCTGATGAGGCACCCAGAGATCAACATTGACATCAAGGAGCTCGGTCCACTGCTGGAGCACAAGATTATCATATCTTTACAGAATAAGTAATGGTTGTTTTGTTTTTTTAATAGAAAATATGATTTTAGAGATAGTTCTATTTACGTCTTTTGTGCCACTAATGATAATGGTTTTAACTACCAGATAAGTCCTGGGGAAAATTAACTTATTTGAACAACACTTGCAAAAAGTTATACTCGACTGTTCCAGCCAGTGTAAAAAAAGTTCTAATCATAACTTAAAGAAATTTTTGGGGTACAATTAACTTGAAATAATTAGAACATATTTTGCTACAATTAAAAAAAAAAAGCTTAAAAACAACACAAAGTCCCAGGCTAATTAAAGCCATCTTCACCCATAATCCATCTCTGTTTTTTCCCCCCGTACATCTAGTTTCAACTTCTCTATGAATTATTTAAACATCCGAGTTGCAATTTATCCAACTCTATTTTAATTCAATAATCTCAACATTTTAATGTCTAGATCCAGATTAAAGGTGACTGGGCTTGTTCCCCTCTCATATTCCCCTCTCATGTTCCTCTCTCTTGATCTATCACTGTATGACACTATGTAAGTTATTATTTTCCCTTTCCTCACATAAGCTTTAAATTTAGCTAATTTCAATATAATATTATTTTCAGGTATTTGAAAAACATGAAACAGAACATTACAGATTGGAGTAGGAACACGCTGCGGTCAGATTTAAAGGTCAGAAAACATTCTTTAATAATGAAAAACGGTTTTCATCCGTACAATTTCTGTGAAAAAAAGGTGGCAGAACGACAGGGTATTTTTTTGACAATTATTAATGGGACTGTTAAACAAATAGATAGTTTAATTAAAAAGAATTGCTTTTTGGTAACAACTTAAAATAAAGGTTTTGTATTCAGGTCAGGGAAGCTAAATTTCAACTAGCAACTCTTATGTTGTTTTGATTATCACAAAAAAAATTTGGGTGTGGGGCTAAGCCCCCTCCACATACCCCCCCTCTCTATTTAGCTCCCAATATAATCTTAATCAATGTTATTTGCTGAAGTTAATATTTAGTGTGAAGGCATTTTTTTAAAGATTTTTAGCTGCTCCTTACATTAAAATCTGACAGGATTAAAATTTAGCTGATTAGTCTTGTCAGCTAATGGATATTGCAACTTGTCTAGTCAAGAATGACATTGTCTGGTCAAGAATGACATTGTCTAGTCAAGAATGACATTGTCTAGTCAAGAATGACATTGTCTAGTCAAGAATGACATTGTCTGGTCTTCTGGTATTCTTCTCATTAGGATTGGGCTGAGAATGAACCACCTGATGAGGACGGAGACGGCTTCTATAATACACAGCTACCTGTCATCATCTTCCAAATGATGGAGCAGAATGTAAGTTAGATAGATTAAATGTCAGATAGATTTAATGGCCGTTAGATTTAATGGCCATTAGATTTAATGGCCCTTAGATTTAATGGCTGTTACATTTAATGGCCGTTAGATTTAATGGCTGTCAGATTTAATGGCAGTTAGATTTAATGGCCGTTAGATTTAATGGCAGTTAGATTTAATGGCCGTTAGATTTAATGGCCGTTAGATTTAATGGCCGTTAGATTTAATGGCCATTAGATTTAATGGCAGTTAGATTTAATGGCAGTTAGATTTAATAGCAGTTAGATTTATGGATAAATGGAAAAGTCTGTTCAACTGCTGATTGTCTCAAATTGAGATTGTAGAAGACATAATATGTAGATGTGGTCAAATGCACATTTTACTCCAACTTGCCATGAGTCGTCCCACACAGTCATCCCACACACTCGTCCCACACAGTCATCCCACACAGTCGTCCCACATCATCCCACACAGTCATCCCACACAGTCATCCCACACAGTCATCCCACACAGTCGTCCCACACAGTTGTCCCACACAGTCATCCCACACAGTCATCCCACACAGTCATCCCACACAGTCATCCCACACAGTAGTCCCACACAGTCATCCCACACAGTCGTCCCACACAGTTGTCCCACACAGTCATCCCACATGGTCATCCCACACATTCATCCCACACAGACGTCCTACACAGTCGTCCCACACAAAACATTGGATCCCCCTCATCCGCCAGTTATCCACCCTCAACTCGTATTGCTCCATCCATACTGTCTATACTTGTTCTAAATCCCATTTCTCCATACACAAAATGGTACTAAACTTTATTTTTGTGTGAGCAAAAAAGATTGTAAAACTAATTAACAGACAGCATGTATTGTAATATTTAAATGTTCGGCTGACATAGTAGATATCATGTAGGCTAGGATGTCGGCCATCTACAATAGCTATTTCATTATTCAATGTTGGTAGTTTGATACACTCTTAGCACAGCCAATCATGGCAGTCATCAAATAAAGAGAAAACGTGTCGCCCGATTTAGTATACAGTCTATGTTGACTTATATGAATTAATTTTTTTTCTTCATTCGTTTTTATAACAGAAGCAATGTACCTGCAGAAAATTATAAAACTTTTTTTTTTTAATTTTCTACGAGCCACTCATAAGCCAACCATCCCACTTAAATCAATGAAATATTTCCTGAAACGTTGGCTTGTTAACTAGTATATACCATACATGCATTTGATTTCAATTCACCCGCTGCTAATATTTAGTCTTTGTAAGGCGGAGTCTACCGTTCAAGTTTCACTACAGCTGTTCCCCACACTTGTTTTGTCTACCGTTCAAGTTTCACTACAACTATTTCCACATTTGTTTTGTCTACTGTTCAAGTTTCACTACAGCTATTCCCACACTTCTTTTGCATTCCTTAGCTGCAAGTGGCCAATATAATTGGTCAAGATCTGGTCAAGAGGGTTCTAGAGTTGTTCGCTGAGGAGCTCAATCGTTTTGCCAATGACTATTTATGTAAGTTCGTTTTCAATAACTCATTCTCTCTGCCTGTGTTCATGAAGAAAATACAGTTGTGATGGTCATGAACACAGGGAAGTAATTCTGATTTGAAATTTAAATTTAAGTGTAGTAATTTTTTTAAAACTCCTATTATTAATCAATTGTAACAAAAATTCCTGAACTTTTATTCATTGGTTATTTTGTTTCTATGGACAAATGTGTGTAGGCCACTTTTGACGCCTAGTCTTAAACATGTATTATTCTCTACGATGCCTATTTGAAAAAACAGTTGAGAGCGCCTTTGATTTATGTTTTTTCAACAGCTGAGCTAAGAATCTACGAAGAACGACATGTGGCCAACAGGGAGACCCCAAAGTTTTATGTACATTACGTGGTTAGTATGATCTGTCAGTTGTGCCTGTCTTTGTGGAATATGTGGCAGCTCTCAAACATTAAGTGACAAGCAACACATAAAGTTACTTTCTGAACTCGCAAGGAATCAAGGAAATATATATAAAAAATTGTGTGCTCTAGACATAAATGTTGCAAACTTTAAAGAGTTTTAAATTATGAATGTGACACATTATAATACATTTTTTTTTTTTTTACATTCTCAATAGTATTTTTGTCCATTTTCTGATTTAAATATTTATAATCACAATTTAATCGCAAGTTTTAGCAGTGGCCAATGGAGCCACATACATAAAATCAGATACAGCGAATAGATCAGATAAAGTCATTTGATTAGATATCTCAAAGATCAATTTTACATTTTGCACATTTACACATATATATCAAATAGTTTTATATTGAAACTACAAAATACAATTTCGCTTTACTTTTCTATACATGTTTTTAATCATTAAAAACAAAATCTTTGAGATCCACTCATCATGATACGGTATTGTTATGTCATGTATGAATCTAAGATAATTAATGCAGAAAACATACTTCTGGTTATGTAAGGCTCCCAAATCTGTCTGATAACAGATAGCCAATGCCAACAACTGTCTGGCTTTTGGGGAGTACATGAAAGAGCTCCGAAAGAGGTACATTAAGAATGAGTTTGAGGAAGAGCAAGATGACGACACAGAACAGATCAGAAAAGATCCATTCCAGCAACTGACTGACAAATTTCAATCACTAGCCAAAAACTGGTAGGTCCTGCATCGAGCTGAAAATATTCCTATAGGGACATCTTGAACTAAGTTAGCTGATCATGTGAAGTACTTAAAAAACATCTTGTCTTATAGTTATTCAAGAATCTGGGAGAGCTAATATGTGTAATGGCTGGCCTGTCCAAGGTGTAAGAACATCTTCTGTTGATGGTCACCTGAAGCAAATTTAGACATTTATCATTTACCTGAATTCAAAATTTAACTCATCACATTTTATTTCATTACTGTTCTTAGAAATACGAGCCTTTCAAACTATTCATATTGATATGTGACATTTTTAACTCTCTGTATATGTATGTGTTGGGGTGGGGTGAGTAATTTAACATAAAGTTATATATGTCTTTAGCATCAGACAGCCTGAAAGTGTTGACATACATAAATAATATGCCGGATATAATTCTTAGCTTAATGAATATTTTTGAATTATTACTTGTTGTTTTTTGCATACTTTTAAAAACCTTTATAGTTCTGGAACAATTCAGCTAATTTTTTTTTTTTCTCATTTGCTAAATCTAATTTCCCTCCTCCTCCCCCATTTGTCTTCAGCTGTGATTATATCCTAGAAGAACTTTTCATCGACCTGACCAAATGTTTGAGTGATCTCATGACCAGAAATTGGTAAGTGGTAACAGACAACTTGCTTGGAATCTAGGCATCCTTCTCACAGAGATAAACTTTAGTTTTAATGCCTCCTCTGCGAACACCATGTACGGCATCAGACACAAATGTATGCTCATGTGTCCGAGTCTGATGCTTCCTTTATAGCAGTTGAAAAAATTTTAAGGTTGTGTTTAGTTATCCCCCTCTTAAGTTTACCCAGTAGCTTCCCCTGAGGAGACCTCGCTAGCCGCCCCTTCCCATTTGATGACATGCAATGTGTTTAAGGTGTTACTGATGCCCACCCAATTTTTGCCCTGTCCAGTATGGGTACTTACTAGTAGTTGGTACTGGCAATGTGTTTGAGAGTCAGTTTTGTTTATGAATGCCCCCCCCCCCCCCCAAACCCCCTTTTTTTTAATTTTATTTCTATTATTTAATTTGTATTTTTTTTTTTTTTTTAATACTTATGGTAGTCATGATTGGTGTCTAGACTGTCTTTGGCCTAGTAATTTGTAGTGCATTCGTCTCCTCCAAACAGGGAATGGTGTTAAACATGTGTTTGATTCATTGATAATCATTTTTCTGGATTAAATATACATAGCTGAGGGAAAAGGATTTTTCTTAAATACTGTATAATTAGTGTAAAAGAATTTGATAAAAGAAACCACCACGTATGGATACGTATGGATACGTATGGATACGTGACTCTTACCCTCCAAATCCAAATTGCAGCAACCATTTTTTCCAGGTTTTATATTCCTATCCTTCTTATGATCATTTAGAACCTAATTGTTCTTTTAAAATTTAATTGTTCATTCACTTAGGGCCCATTTAGGGCTTCATTTTTCTTTAGCTGAGGGACGTGCTGGGGCTCCATTGTACATTAGCTAAGGGTGCTGGGTGGTCGATTGGTCTAAACTGAGTGAATCCCAAGCTAGTGTACTGGAGTTCAATCCCCAGAAAAATCAAAGACATCACCATAAAAAAAAAAAAATGGTAATACGGGGAGAGACTGCAATCAGGTTAGCAAAAAAGGAAATGGGTGAAACAAAGTATGGTCAAACCTGAAAAAAGGAGCACATTTGCTGCCTTCTCGAATACCACTTTTCAGCTAAGTGCTATTTTTTAATTTAATTCTTTTTTTTCTGTTGTTTGTTCGCTAACGAAGACTGCCCGACGACACGTTTAGTGTTTTATTGCATTTCTTTTTTCAGGTTTGACCATACTTTATTTTACTCATTTCCTTTTTCAAATACGTCACCAGCAGTTTTGCTTTAGTCCTCCATTTCACCTCTCCCACCCTACTGATCAGAAATACCTTAGTTAGGATTCTTGTTTTGAAGTCATTGTTTATAGATTCTTCTGTGTCATTGGTGGAGATATAATACTATGACTTTGGACTGGACGTCCAGTTCTGAAAGTATGAACACAATTAATGATATAATAATGTGTCTTTGGTCAGGATGTCGAGTGCCGAAGGTGTCAATACAATTAATGATATAATAATCTGTCTTTGTTCAGGATGTCGAGTGCGGAAGGTGTCAATACAATTAATGCCACTTGGGCTGATTACCACCAAGACTTCCTGCACCTGAAACCATCCATGTATGAAATTCTACTGGCCAAGGGGCAGCGGAGACTTATCAAAGAATATGTCAAGGCTCTTTTATCTAGGTAGGCTTCTGCTAAAATGTGGGGTATACCGCTGGTGGCTATTTGGTTAAGTTTCTTCAAAAATATATGGGATACACCTGTTTTTTTTTTTTTTTTGGTTAGGTTTACGCTAAAACTCTTTCAGCTCGGTTTCAATGGATTTTTTTTTTCCTCAGAGCCATTAAACTCATAGGTTGTGCGTTACTAGAAGACATTAATTGTATGATATCCTAAAAAGTCATTTGTTTTTTTGTTTTTTTTTTTTTAAATTTTTTGGGTATTCTCTTTTTTTTTTTTTTTTTTGGTTAGGTTTACGCTAAAACTCTTTCAGCTCGGTTTCAATGGATATTTTATTTCATCAGAGCCATTAAACTCATAGGTTGTGCGTTACTAGAAGACATTAATTGTATGATATCCTAAAAAGTCATTGTCTAGCTTTTCATAGTAATGTAGGCTACCCCACAGTTTGAAGAAAAAAAAATGCAATTGTGATAATCATATCCTACAGGTGAAAACATAGACTAGTAATAATTAATTTGTGCATTTCAGAAAGCTCTCCTTCAAAAGTTATGATGAAAGGAAAGCTACCGCTGAGAAAATCTGCAGAGAAGCTGAGGACTTGAAAGCACAGTTTCTAGCAATGTCACCAAAACTGGTGAGCAAGTCTTTCGAAATTTTACACTTAGTCTCTGCAATCATTAACATAGATTTTTACTCCACCAATATCATCCTTAATTGATCTAAAAATCTGATGGATTGTTTTCAGTTTGTTAGTCCTAACTTTTCGTGTGACTCCTGGAATGGTGCAGTCTCAGTTAATTCTGATGCCCGACCTCAATTTTTCCTATGTAAATATCAAGTTTTTCTTCTGACTTACAATTTACAAATTGGTGGGAACAATAACCGTCCTAAACACCGTTTTTTGTCCTAAACAAAACACCCCTTTTCTTTTTTTTTAGGAGTTATGTTTTATCTCATGATGTTATGCCTATTTTCATTCAGCATGTCATAATTCTATGTCCTAGAGATATGTTTCTCTAACACCTGTCACTTTCTGTATCTGTCTCTGCAGGACGTTACTTTATTTGATGTGCTACCTGCCCTCGCTGAAGGATTGAAGCTCAAAGACAGTTCTATGCTATCTCTCGAAATCATGGCAAGTTACTTTTGGTTTAAGTTACCCTTATAAATACAAGGGGCCAGACTTTTCACATGGGATGCCAAATTAATTTGTTTGGTATGTCAGAAGAGGTCATTGCTATATTTTGAATCTAATTGCCAGGTAACAGTCAAATTAAAATATTTTTGTCACAATTTAAAACCAATGTTGATGACCAACTGACTGGTAAAGAAAAGTGATGCTTGGGATTTTTCAACAGACTTTTGTCTGTGACATCAAAGCACTACATTTTGCCAAGTGTACTTGTTTTTATAACCATTTTAATGTTTTAGCTACTGTTTTTATAGTCATTTTTCACATTGTTGTTACTATTCTAGTGTTTCTGGTTTTTCATTTTATTTTTACTTTAGCAGTTTAAATAGTTTACATATTCTTAATAATTGTAAAGCGCTTAGAGCTGTAAGGTAAGCGCTATACAAAAATGCCTAAATAATAATAATAATAATAATATTATTATATGCCAACAACTTGGGCAAACAACATTAAGAGTTATTTTGTTGATACACTATTATTTCTTTGGTGCTTAAAGACAGTCATGATCATTTGAAATAATCTTATTTTTATATTTTTTTATGGTGTAGTTGGCCCATATACATAATGTTAAAAAATGCTTATATATTTTCTTATGGTGTAGTTGGTCATAAACAAAATGTTTACTAATGTTTTTATATTTTCTTATGCTATAGTTGGCCATATACAACATTTTTAAAAAAATGGTTTTACATTTTAAGCATTTTCAATTTTATTTCAAATACATAAAGCTTTAAATTATAATTATTTATTTTAAAAAAATCATTTGAATTGATGTAATAACTTGATTTTGCACTGATAATATAAAATATCTCCAAAGTATTTCAATAATTCATATCAATCAATTCTGTTTTGTCTCCAGGGTTTTGCCCAAAAATATCCAGATATCAGGCTGGAGCAACTAATCAATTTGATTTTGTGTCGAGGGGACATCAGCCGCTCTGATGCCAGACAGGTAAAGACAAATTTCAAAATCTTTTTTAAAATTAATTTGATTTTTTTTTTTAAAATCTGCAGAAAGCAATGGATTGATCCAAACACAATGGATTGATCCAATCACAATGGATTGATCCTATATATTATGCATAAAAACAATTGATATTTTTCATTAAACATATTTTTTAAAATTAAATTAGCAGTTAAATGTTGAGTTGCCATTTTAGCAGTTAATGTTTGAATCAAGTGTGTGAGATTTGAATCCTACACTCAGCTACTAATGAGTATTGTCCTCTACAAACTGAAAGTCTCAGCTACTAATGAGTATTGTCTTCTACAATCTGAAAGTCTCAGCTACTAATGAGTATTGTCTCTACAAACTGAAAGTCTGAGCTACTAATGATTATTGTCTTCTACAAACTGAAAGCCCCAGGTACTATTGATTATTGTCTTCTACAAACTGAAAGTCTCAGCTACTAATGAGTATTGTCTTCTACAATCTGAAAGTCCCAGCTACAAACATTCACTTACAACATTTGATGTAAATTTTTAACGTTTACTTTTGTGAGAACTGAGGTTTCACCCCATTGTTCACCTTACTGATAATTTTGCATGGAGTGTGTCAGGTAGTTCAGCCAGTGATCACAGAGCTATCAAAGTCTAACACGCTGTGTCTTATTTACATAAAAAAAAATATTTTACAGATGAAAAATTCTTTTTGTTATTTAGAAGACAAACAAACAAACAGGTTATTTGGAAAAAAAGAAAAAGAATTAGTTGCAAGTGTTTTACTGTGTATGGGCTTGTATTAGTTGGCAGACGTGTTAAAACACAAAGTACCTGCGTTGTTATACAAAGTTCAAGGGCTGTCTTCACTTCCTTGATTTATGCACACAGCTGCAGTTTTTATCGGGCAAGACAAGAGGCCATTCTGGATTTAGCATCTCTTAATATAAAGCATTGAAAGTCTTCCAACTTGATTGAGTTTTTAAAAAAAATGTATTATGAAAGTGTTGGACTGCTAGAAAGCTTTCAAGTAGATAGAGACAGAAACAATTGTTGTAAATAAAACAATATAGGTCAAGCTTTACTTTAATTATGGTTATACAAAATATAAATTCAAGCGTTTCGGCAAATGCCTTTATCATTACAACAAAAATACAACCTTGACGGAATATTAGACATTACAGAAATGTATGCAAGAAGTACACCTAATAGAATTTAAATGGAAATTGAATTATTAAAACGATTTGGTACGTTGACTCCACAGGGTGTAAACGCAACTCACAATTTTACACCACTGCCATGTCTTTTCCTGTTGGGTTTTTAAATTTTACCAACACCCACATTTGTTTCATTTTACTGATCTTTCTTTTCGGTAGGAACTTGTGCCCATTCCTATTGTTTTCTTTCTTTTTAAGGTATAGGTAGAATATGCAAATATTATGTAAATTTAATTTATAATTATATTGTTTTTTTTTGTTATACTGATGAAGTCATTTGCCAAAATGTTCAAATTTCTATTTTTTTCTAACCTCAATTAAAGCGTTAAAAGTTATTCTTTTATTTACACAAATTGTTTGGGTCTCAATAATCTAGAATTTTATTTAAAATCCGTTTTTAACACTGACAAGAATAGATGGTCTCATTTACAAGTTTCTCTCACCTGTAGCTGACTTTGACCCTCCCCAAGAACAGATGGCTCACTAGGCTAATTGGCCTGTCTCACCTGTAGCTGACCTTGACCCTCCTGAAGAATAGATGGCTCACTGGGGCCAACAATCTATCTCATCAGTAGCTGACCTTGACCCTGTACCAATTTGAACCAGTTTATCTGGAGCAAGGGGCAGAAAATGTTACCATGACGCCCCACACTGCACTTCTCCAACACATTCCCATATTTTGACGTCCCAATGCAAAATTGTTTTACTTCCGAAATTTCCTTAGTCCAGTTTTATGCCTGCTGTCAAAATTGATGTTTTCTATTGATTTTGTCTCCAGCTGGCCATTGACACACTGGGTGAAGATGACTCCAACAAACCTAAAGGAATATTCTCAGAGATTGCTGGCTCAGGCTGACCCACTCTGCTCATGATTCAGATGAGCTAAATTGTTGAAAGTGACAGATGAACCAAATCCAAAGATGAAATTGCTCATCAATGACACAACAAACCCCCCCCCCCCACCCCCAGTTTCATGTCCAGTAATGAAAATGACCAGACATGATGATTGTGTTTGGTTTGGTTACCCACTCTGCTCATGATTCAGATGAACTAAATTTTTGAAAGTGACAGATGACACAAATCCAAAGATGAAATTGCTCATCAATGACACAACAAACCCCCCCCCCCACCCCCAGTTTCATGTCCAGTAATGAAAATGACCAGACATGATGATTGTGTTTGGTTTGGTTATGCTGTGAACTTGATGATTGTGTTCAATTTGACATGGAACAAGTTAACACAGAGAATATGTGGACATGAAAAGAAATTTGATAATTGTTTTAGGGTGGGTTTATTTTTAATATTTAATTTATTTATGATGTTTTGGTCAATAAATGTACACTGACATGAGTTTTTTGAAGAGCATAGCAGTTATTTTGTACACAATTCATTACTGTACAGCTAATAGGTACACAAATAAAGCCCCATGATAAATAGTTTATTTCCTCTCTTTAATTCTCACACTTTTTGTGTGTCTAGTCATGATTATTTGTATCATTCCTTGCAGTTACTGACTGTTTTGATTCATTAATAAATTAATTTTTTAAAAACCACATGAAGTCAATACATTGTTAGTTTGGTCTTTTAATAGGTGTAAGTCAATACATTGCCTATCACTTCTAGTTCCCATTAGCAGACCTGTTTGCCTCTGGGTTAGTGTTAGAGTAGTTTCAGCTCTCAAACACTTCAAGGTAAAACAGAGTAGAATTGGTCGATTAGAAAACGTTGTGCGGGTTGGGGGGTGTGGGGGGGGGGGGGGGGGGGGGGGGGGGAGGCAGAAAAAAATTTCCAAAGCATTACGGTACGATTTTTGTTTAAATACGAAAACATCTGAAACTTTGAAAGCACATGCGCAATTAAACTGCTTAGCCATTGAGACCAAATTCAAGCGATAAGCAACACTAGGGACTAAAAATAGATGACACATCGGCAGTTAAGGACCGGTTTTAACAATTCATTTTCTAAGAAAAAGAAAAAAAATTTCTGGTCGGTTCCATGAGATCGAGACCGCAAAGTCCAATCACTCTTATTCTGATTTAATTGCTTACGGTGTTGACACAAAGAATACGGTCAGTTTTTCCTGGAAACATCTCAATTTTTTTTTTTTTTTTTAAATAATAAAATTAACCCAAACAAACGTAAAAAACCGGTAACGTATTTCTTTAAGGCTCGTGGTAGTGCCATAGTCAGTCTGAAACACTACGCAGTTACTACGGCGAAAGCGTAGGGGTAAACAGGTTTGAATTAGCTACGTCTACCTAAGTCAGGCTGACAATCTCGAGGTCAGATTCGAATTGGGTCATAACTGCTGGGACAAACTCAGGTATATACCTCACATTTCTTTTAAATGTGATTCGAATTTATTGTCAAGTTGTTAGTTTTGTATGTGCCCACTGCAAATTCACCTATTATGTCCCCCCTCCCCTTTTTGCCCCGCCACTTTTTTTTTATGGAAACACCTCTGACAGTCAAGATTCTATCGGCTGAGACACGAGTCCTGTGAGTACCAGTGAACTGTGTTGACACGTTTGAACTGTCTATGACGTGTTTACATGTTTGTACTGTCCATGACGTCATACAAGTCGCCATCTTCTTCCCTCGGATCGTACACCTCGGGCCCCGCCCATTTCTTCACGTGCATACTTTTCTTGTCAAACACCGGCTTGGGGAGGGAGGGCAGAGGGCGGTTCCTGTTGGGAAATTGACTCGCATCTGGTGACGGTCGTCCCTGGCGCGGTGGAAGCGGAGATTTCTGCGGTGAATGCGAAGTCTGCTCCTCGGAAGATTGCTGTGACGATTTCGAGTCAGCGTTCTTGATGACGCCATTCTGCTTGGTTGAGCTATCGCCCGATTCTGGTTTCTCTTTGGAATTTACGGAAGCAGCCTGGTGGATCGGTTTCAAAGGCAGCTTGGGGTGATGTTGAGACTTGTTTGGGGGAACCACGGGCGGGACACCGATCTCATGAAGACCGTTGGTTGGCTGCGGTTTGGCGGCACACAGCAGAGGGGGGCGAACGGGAATCGGCGGTGGCGGTGGAGACGTCGTTCCCGGGGCCAGATGCGGCGAGACGAGGTTCGGTTCTGACTTGGCGCTTTTTAAAGCTGGGGGGTTTGGCTTCTTTGACCTTGTTGTGTTTTTGGTGAATTTGGAAGAACTAGTAGTCTGTACCGTGCTGGCGGCCTGAAGTTTGGGAGAATCAGAAGGCTGTACCGTGTTGGGCGCCAGAAGTAACGAAGGCGAAGATGGGAACGTTGATAATGAGGTCTGCGGTTTTTTGGTCTGTGGGGCAGGCGGTGGTGGCCGTGTAGGTGGCGGTGGTAAAGTCGAGACATGGGTCGTTGGGGCTGATTTTCGATCATCCGTTGGTTTAATCGAGGTGTCTTGGGTGCCGGAAACTGTTGGTGGTGGGGGCGGAAGGGGGAAGTCTTCCTCCAGATCGTCGTCAAACTCATACTGCGAACTCCAGCGTGAGGAGGAGGAGAGGTTAAACGTGGCAGACGACTGAGAGGCTGTAGTCAATTCATCTGCTGGTGGAGGTGGGGGAGGCGGTGGTTGGGATGGTGGTCTTTGTATTGCTGAAAGGGGGGAAAAAATGAGGTTTAGGTTTTAAATGGAATTATAAATATAGATTGCTGCGATATGTAACGAGCTGTGAATGGGGTGTCACTGGTCAAATGCAATCTGCCCAGTTATGGAATGTAATCTGTCCAGTTATGGAATTTAATCTGTCCAGTTATGGAATGTAATCTGTCCAGTTAAGGAATGTAAGCTTCTTTTAGTTCTTTGGATTAAGTATTTGAATAACAAACTGTAGCAATCAATCCGGAAAATTGTCAAATCTTTTCTGAAAGGAAGAAATAACTGTGTAATCTACAGACCTAAAACGTTAGAGAGTATCTTCCCTTTGCTCTCAATGGTAGGCGTGGACGTGAGATTCTAAGCGAGATTTGTTGTGACACTTTCAGCTGTACTCTAGAACCCAACTCGCTACACAGTGACAACTTCAGCCACCATTGCCTCACCACGTCACACACGTATTGACAACATCATTTCCTCTCCCACACAAAAAACTTGAGAAATGCAGGTCTTCCAACCGTTCTCTATTATACGCAGACGCCTCAGGTGGATTACATCGAAGGAAAGTGTCTAAATAGGACTGTTGAGCCGTTTTCATAAGAGAACTCAGTTAAATTGAAATACAAGAACAAAATGCTACTAGAGCAGGTAGCCATTACAAAGGAGTGTCAACAGAGCAGGTTTCCATCACAAGAGGTTGTTACTAGATGAGCAGCGCCCCCCCCCCCCATAACAGGGTATCGCCAGACAAAGGCATCACCAGAGCAGTGTCCAACCAGACCAGGGTGTCACCAGAGCAGTGTCCCACCAGACCAGGGTGTCACCAGAGCAGTGTCCCACCAGACCAGGGTGTCACCAGAGCAGTGTCCCACCAGACCAGGGTGTCACCAGAGCAGTGTCCCACCAGACCAGGGTGTCACCAGAGCAGTGTCCCACCAGACCAGGGTGTCACCAGAGCAGTGTCCCACCAGACCAGGGTGTCACCAGAGCAGTGTCCCACCAGACCAGGGTGTCACCAGAACAGTGTCCCACCAGACCAGGGTGTCACCAGAGCAGTGTCCCACCAGACCAGGGTGTCACCAGAGCAGTGTCCCACCAGACCAGGGTGTCGCCAGAGCAGATTGTCTATCGAACATAGTTTCATCAGAGCAGAGTGCAACCAGAGCAGACTGACTTGTAAAAGGTTCCTGGGAAAGTCTGGTTGACATGAACACCATAAGGGCAAGAACGCAATTAAGAGACTTTTGCAATGAGAAATCTAAAATAGATCAAGAGCCATGACGGAAGTACCATGCATCCCATGTTTGATGCGCTTAAAGGTAAGCGTCTACTATTGGCGACTGAAGAAGAGCTACTGGTGTCCATCTCTAGTTGACCACTTTATATGATGAGTTGCTGCAAACGCACTGAGGGCAGCATATATTAATCTCGCCTTAAACACAAAACATGTGTCAATACGGAATTTGAAGATTTGACATTCATATCAGAATGTGGCATCCTTGAGTTTCCCCAGTTCCTCTCATAATACACGATCTATGTGTTTGTGGCGTCATAATGCACGATCTGTGTGTTTGTGGCGTCATAATGCACCATCTGGTGTTTGTGGCGTCATAATGCACGATATGTGTGTTTGTGGCGTCATAATGCACGACCTGTGTGTTTGTAGCCTCATAATGCACGATCTCTGTGTCTGTGGCGTCATAATGCACGATCGGTGTGTCTGTAGCGTCATAATGCACGATCTGTGTGTCTGTAGCCTCATAATGCACGATATGTGTGTCTGTAGCCTCATAATGCACGATCTCTGTGTCTGTGGCGTCATAATGTACGATCGGTGTGTCTGTAGCGTCATAATGCACGATCTGTGTGTCTGTAGCCTCATAATGCACGATATGTGTGTCTGTGGCGTCATAACGCATGATCTGTGTGTTTGTGACGTCATAATGCACGATCTGTGTGTTTGTGGCCTCAAAATGCACGATCTGTGTGTTTGTGGCGTCATAATGCACGATCTGTGTGTTTATGGCGTCATCAAGCACGATCTGTGTGTTTGTGGCGTCATAAAGCACGATCTGTGTGTTTGTGCCCTCATAATGCACGATCTGTGTGTTTGTGGCGTCATAATGCACGATCTGTGTGTTTGTGGCGTCATAATGCACGATCTGTGTGTTTTTCGCCTCGTATGAGAGGACCTTTCAACTTTTATAAACTGAAACTTATTTAAAGAAATATTAGCGATCTACCGTGAAACAATCCAGGTAGTCTGGTCCTGCAATTTTGTCGTTTGAAAGGGATGAGATGGCAAATGTTGATATTAATGAAGTGATTGACGATAATTTGGCACCTTTGAAGAACGGAAAAGTGCAGTTCTAACTAGTAGGCTTCAATATTTTAATAAAAAGCTTTTTCTTTTCATTTTTTAATCGCTGTTATCTGAAATTCTAGAGTTTAATTTTATATCTTTCTGATCGCCTTGATGACGTCATTTCATTTACAACCAATACTGATTATCTTTGATCTAGTTAAAAATCAATGGGTGCAGGGGGGGGGGGGGGAACACCATGTCACAGTGATAACCTCAGCTCCGTCAAACCTTACTGACATGCAGACGTCTAAACCTCACAGTGACAACATCAGCTCCTACAAACCTTACTGACATGCATGCATCTAAACCTCACCGTGACAACCTCAGCTCCTCCTCACACCAGACCCAAAAGTCTAGTTTTCTATTCCCGACATGTCGCGGCCAACCCTGATTATCCAGTTTTTGATCTTATGAAACTATTCGATTGGCATGTCAAGCGTCAAAACATTGTTTTATAGCTGAACTAAACCTCTTTAAACGTTGTAAGTAAGTATGTGTTAAAGTTTAACTTAAAGGATTTACTTTTAAAGCGATAAAATTCACCCACCATTTCTCCGGGGCGCTTGGCTTGGATACGTTTTCTTAATTCCACTCAAAGGTTCCGGAAGTGGAACGGTCGAGATCGGCCGGAAGCTGAATCGTCCTTGGAAGTCTAAGAATTGAAAATAGTGCACGGTATCAAAATAAGCCATGATTGGTGATTACCTTCTGTATACACAGTATGAACACATGTCGTTTTAATGAGCGAATGTAAACGTGTATTAGTTTCTGTTAAAGGGTGAAGGTTACTTTGACAACGTGTTATACATATAATATAGCGTGAAAATTTGCCATGACATGCCTTCATCTATGATCATTTCCAAGGAGCCTTTCCTTTCAGGGATGGGAGGGGGCAGGTCCTCTCCGTCGTCAACACTGAAATGGCGAACCGGAAGTTCAGGCGGCACGTCATCGTGTAGACTCAAGCGTTTGAGATTCAGTTCTGAAAAATAACCCCATCATAAAATGGTATTCATCAATGGTAAAAGGAACAAGTGGAGCTGACAGACCGAATCGAATCAAAATCAAGGTGAAACATACACAGAAAGAGGCTCCCAACGACTTCTCCCTGGGTTACATTGTTACTTCTGCCCACCGGTACATGGTGCGCCACGTCCGGGATTGTACCATCAAGCACTTGTACCACTGAGGTGAGAGCTCAGAAATATATCGATTTCTGATCTGATATATGGAGTGGGCCAATGCCTGGACTAATGCCTGGACCCTTGACTGGGTCAATGACAAGACCAATGCCTGGACTAATGCCTGGACAAATAACTGGACCAATGACTGGACCAATGCCTGAACCATTGACTGGACAAATGACTTATTAAAAAATAAAATTGAATTCAATACATTTTAAGTATCTGATATTTTAAACATTCCGATCTTACAATGCTACGTAATTACTGCCCACTTAATTTAGTTACCTCGCCATACCCCAGCCCCGTTATTTCGATAGATTAAAAAATATATACATACATATACATGTATATAATATATAATTCAAATTTAATGAGGTTGTGGATTTCTATTTTAGAAAAAAAGACACAACAACTTCAAAACAAGCTTCCATATAGTCTGCTTTCTTAATTACGTTCTAACATTAAGTACCAGGGTAAACTTAAGCGAGAGATCTAAAAATGATACAAACTCTGTTGAACCAATTGGAATGTTCCCTGATGAATCATCACACATGTACTCAACTATTTTTCTCCTTTCGACTAATGCTCTACACACAAACACACTGAAATGTCGACGAGGTCTCTACACATTAGGATTTGAATTTTAGGCTCTACACAGAGAGGTTTTGACCAAGGCTTTACACAGAGAGTTAGTGATTTAACACATTAAACTAATTCCACTGAAATTTACTTGACCAGGTCTTGTCAAGTCCCCCCCCCCTTTTTTTTCATTCCCCTACCTTCCTAAACATAAATGCTATTTTTATCAATCTCTACCTTTAAAACGGTGTAACACACCTTTCCTAATCGATTTCCCCTGCCCCTCTCCCACAAACCCTTCACCATCGCCTCGGGGAGCACGTGACATTTGTGATAAAAAAACAACAACACAGATGACAAGTTAAATGATGCCATGATTTTTAAAAAAAAGTACAATAATCTTGCTACAAATGTTTAATTTAGAAGTTACGGTGTCTACCATGTTATCAGAGGCTAAAGTCTCAGCCAGACTGAGGATGAGCAACTTTAAAATATCCAATCGAATTGAATGGGGGTTTTTTCTTTAACATGTTCCCTCCAATGTGGATTTGATCCACAGTCTGGAAATTGTGTGCGTTGTTGTTTCTTAAAGACATTAATACCACTGTCTTAACTCAATAGTTAGCAGAACAGCTTTGCGTTAACTTGAAGAGAAATACATGAATAATTATTAGACCATACACTAGAAAAAATAAATATGTTTTCTAAAGCAACATAATTATTTTTTAATCAAATTTGGAAACCACCCCATGTGACCATTGTAACCACCCCCATGTGACCATTGTACCCACGCCATGTGACCATTGTAACCATCCAATGTGATAATTAGTAACCACCCAATGTGACCATTGTAACCACTCAATGTAACTATTGTAACCACCCAATGTGACCATTGTAACCACCCAATGTGACCATTGTAACCACTCAATATATTCATTGTAACCACCCAATGTGACCATTGTAACCACCCAATGTGATCATTGTAACCACCCCATGTGACCATTGTAACCACTCAATATGACCATTGTAACCACCCAATGTGATCATTGTAACCACCCAATGTGACCATTGTAACCACTCAATATGACCTTTGTAACCACCCAATGTCACCATTGTAACCACCATGTGACCATTTTAACCACCCCATGTGACCATTGTAACCACCCAATGTGATCTAAGTGTCAGTCAATATTGGATAAAAATCAAATTATCTTTGCAAATAAATATTATTATTATTTTTTTATTTATTTTACGACATGGGCGAGAAACTATTACTTACAGGAACATGAAAAAGACAAAGATGATGGAATTTTTCATGGTCAATCTTCATGGCCTTTGTAATCTTTAATATACTTCTAGCAACTAAAATCATCTACATGATAATTTAGGGAGTGGCAGACCATCTTAATGTGAGCGTTATTCAAAGATAGTGCGCCCCCCCCCCACCCCCTCACGTTTTAAGCCCTAAAGGGCTTAGGAAAGAAATCGGTGGTCTCAATCCAACAGCGAAGAAAACCAACACGTCATATTACCCAAGAATGGCATTAATTTTCTTTAAAAGTTCGTTTTTGTGTAGCAACCATATCACCCATTAACTGAATCATTAACTGAATCATTAACTATGTCATTAACTCAATCATTAACTCTGTTATGAACTCCGTCATTAACTCAATATTTAACTCGATCATTAGCTCCATCATTAACTCAAACATTAACTCTGTGATTAACTATGTCATTAACTAAATTATTAACTCAATCATTAACTCAATCCTGTGTTAAACTAAATTCAGTGAACGTGTTAAACTTATTGTTTATTGTGTTTTTTAAAAAAAGAGTCTCAAACTGTTGTCTCGGACCCAGCTTTTCGTTCTTTAAATGTCTCCATGACAGTCTGCAAACTAGAATAGAGTAGATTTCAGCGCTGAGTGCCTGGAGAACACACACAGAAAAGAACGCAGTAAACACATGACTGGAATGGCACTAGCTTTTCATTAGATACATCTTTTACGATGATGAAAATGAGTTTACTATGCACAACATGTTTGACCCATTGATAAATCTTAGGGTACTGTTTCTTTGTTTAAATCCTTTTTTTTTTGTTATATTATAGGACATGTTTGTTATATTATATGACATATTTGTGTTATATTATAAGATAAATTTGTTATATTATAGGACAAATTTATTTTATAGGACAGATTTGCGTTATATTATAGGACATATTTGTGTTGTATTATAGGATATATGTTGTGATAATATAGACAATATATGTGTTGTATTACAGGACCAGAGTGTGTTATGTTATAGGATATATTTTTGTGTTGTAGTATAGGAAATATTTGTGTCATATTACAGTACAGATTTGTGTTATATTACAGTACATATTTGTGTTATATTACAGTACATATTTGTGTTAAATTACAGAACAGATTTGTGTTATATTACAGTAAAGATTTTTGTTATATTACAGTACAGATTTGTGTTATATTATAGTAAAGATTTTTGTTATATTACAGTACAGATTTGTGTTATATTATAGGAAAGATTTGTGTTAAATTATAGGACAGATTTGTGTTATATTATGGGACAGATTTGTGTTATATTATAGGACAGATTTGTGTTATATTATGGGACAGATTTGTGTTATATTATGGGACAGATTTGTGTTATATTATGGGACAGATTTGTGTTATATTATGGGACAGATTGTATGTATTATAGGACAGCTTTTTTTTTATTATTATAGGCAAGATTTGCTGACTGTCATGCGGAGGAGAGTCAACGTCTGTTAGCTTGAACAATTACCCCTAAAACAATTTCTCTGTGTTATAATAAAATATTTTATTATTTTAAAATGTAGATTTGTTCCGTCTTATTATCGAGTTTAAGCACACTCTGCATGGCGTCTTTTTTATGGACTAGGTATAGTGCTTCGCTCACTGAAATGTCACACAAAGAAATGGTGTCAGCGGGCCGTCGAGCTTAAAGCTCTTTATGTCCTCCCCAAAGCATCCCCCCAACTAAGCCCGGTATCGGGCCGCGAAGCGGCACGTTGGAGATGTCCTTTTGCCACGAAATCCCCCACCCGAGTCCCATCGATCGGGTTCCACTGGGGGCCGCAAAACCCAAAGTCACCCGGTCGGTCCGACACTGTGTTCGCACATAGTGCACACGATCGACTTTCTCAGGAGTCGGGATGGTAAATTTACGTCCTAATATCTTCCCCCACCCATCCCGAGGTAGCTTTGGACGCCCTGTAAGAGGGATTCTACGGTGGGTTTCCACAACGCAACTAATTTTCGATGTAGCTGGGAGGAAACGGTAGCCTTGGAGCAGCTTCTCAAGGCTGCATAGTAAGAATCATCGGCCAGAGGTACACTCTTTGCCTCTCGCCTCATATCCATTAACGGCTCGTTTCGCTCACTGAAATGTTACATTAAGAAATGGCGTCTTTTCCCCCCCCCCCCCCCCAAATTACCCCTCCCCGGTCCGACGTATCGGGCCGTGGAGCGGCACGTTGGAGATGCCCATTCGTCAGGACGGCCCCCACACGGGCCCCCACCCAAGTCCCCCGCCTGGGCGCCTGGGCGCTCGACCAGGACCCCGCCTGGGGGCCGCCCCAACCAGGAGGCACCCGGTCGATCCGACACTATGCGTTTAAACAGTGCTCTCGATCGACTTTCTCAGGAGTTGGGATGGAAAAATTTACGTCCTAATATCTCCCCCCACCCATCCCGGGAAAGCGTCGGACGCCTTATAAGAGGGATTCCACAGTGGGTTTCCACAACGCAACTAGTTCACGCTGTGGCTGGGACGTTTCGCTCACTAAAATGGGCGATTAAATGAACTTGAGCAAATTGCATGCAGGCACAGACGCAAAGTTGTGTTTTTTTAGGTCATGTGCGCCTAACGTCATTGTGAGTATGCATTAAAAGTGTATATACCTGCCTGGTATCCCTTCACTGGAAGGTTGTACAGTTTCAAATATTAAAAGTTTAACTCAATAACAACAATGAAATGACCGAATAATAAAAGTATAATGACTCGATAAGAACAATTAAATGACTTCATGACAAAATCACATAAAACTTACTAAAATCCAACTTGGCAATCCTGATCAGATTAATGCCAGTTGTCCTGCTGCTGGAGTTTATTTTATTGTTGACCAAATCCCCCACTCCTATGGCCGATTCCGACTTCCGTCTGAATTTCTCCGCCAAGTACGCGCCAATGGAGATATGATCTGTGTGGACGTCATGCCCTCCGTCTGCCACCTTGCGCCGACTTTTCCCGCCAAATAATCCGTTAATGTGAGCAATGATGTCACTCTGCATGGTCGCAACTTTTTAAATTTTTGTATTTTATTTTTTTTTTTTTTAATATTAAATTTATTTTTTAAAAGAAAATTGAACCTGTGTAGGACTTATTTCCATACTTGTAATTTATTTGTAAGTTGGTTATTTCAATCAATTAAAAAATATATTTTGATTCACGAGAAATTTTCATCCTGTATTTAATTAATTCGCATTATTCAAATGATAAAGTTTACAAGTGGGAGAGGTCAGGGCGCAATCAATAAATAATTATATAACAAAAGTTTGTTGGTTTTTGTTTTTTTTGCCTTCAGCTTGTGTTTGCGTCGTCAATAATCCATGAGAAAATCCTTTTGAAAACTTCGCCAACCCTCTGAGCACTAATCATGCAGTCCAACAGTGTATCTTTGTATCAGAAACTTGGATAATTCAATCTAAACGCGTGGCTTCACAATGTGCATGAATCAGATGAAGCGTCGATGGCACGAGGCCCAACACAGTGCATTCATTCCTTGAATTTAAAATGTCATCTTTGTCAGCAGACTCCAGCGGCTGTCAAACTTTAGCACCGTGAAATATGTCTCAACCCACATTTCTCCGGAGAAGTGATCCAACAAGTTCAGACTGAGAAAATGAACATCAGAAAAACTGGTGAACCTCAGTTGTCAGACGATTCAAAAACCCTACAACACGAACGACAGTTAATTTTTAAAAAAATCATTTTGTTTTTTCAAATCAAAAGAACAGAATTAGAATAGCATTTGTTGAAAGGGGAGCTAAACAGTCCGTGATCACAATTCCAATCAATACAAATATATGAAGTAGGCCATTCAGCTCGCCCACCACCCCCACCCCCTCCCCCCCCCTCCTCCCCTTTCGGCATTTTGTGGTCAGTGGCGGATCGGCAGTTGAACAGATT